TATTACTCTTGAAAGTTTACACAAACATCAATCCAACCATACACGACAAATCTTCCTCAACAAACATCACAAAAATATTCAAAATGGTGTGTGGCTAGCTAGTTAGGTGGCCACAGATGATCATAAATTAGGTCACAATTCCACATCCCCATTTTTTTTCCCACATATTTCGTTTTATATTCCAAAAAAATGCCACATGGGCAAGCAAACAGACACGTCTTCACGCCAAGTGACATTCAATCCACGTAGAATCTATACTTATATAAAAAGCTATCTTATTTACTAGAAATAATAGGTAAAAAAGTAAAAAAAAATTAATGCTTGTTGTAAATAGAATGACATTAATTACAAATTTGTTTTGGTATTTAATTTAGGGAAAAGTCCAAAAGTGGTCTTCCATGTTTAGGGGGTATCCAGACTGAGTCCCTATTATGTTTTAGTGCCCAATTTTGGTCCCTAAAACAAACAAATGTAGTCCCTATAATAAGGAAAGTCTACTTTTGGTCCTCCATGTTTAGGGGGTATCCAGACTGAGTCCCTATTATGTTTTGATGCCCAATTTTAGTCTTTAAAACAAAAAGATGTAGTCCCTATAATAGGAAAAAGTCTACTTTTGGTCCTCCATGTTTAGGGGTATCCAGACTAAGTCCCTATTATGTTTTGGTGCCCAATTTTAGTCCTTAAAACAAAAAATATAGTCTCTTTACATCAATTTCTGTGAATTAACGGTCCATTTTTGCTCGACCGTTATGTTCTTTATTTTTTTAAAATTTGTTGACTAATGTCAACTTTGACCAAAGAAAAATAAAAGAAAATTTAAATGCTGAAGAGTAAAAGAAAAAGCAGAAATGGTGAACTACAGTGAAAGGTAGAAAAAAAAAATCTAACCGCCTAGGAACTAAATCCGATCAAGTGGATGGAAAAGGTATGGTATTTTGTAGATATGGGCTGGTTGCAAAGTTGACTGCATGCTGGAAGGATGATAATCCCAGTCCTGTAAGTACTTTCCGTGAACTTCAATTGGAATACCTCTTTCTTCTTATTTATTGGACTGATGAAAAGAAATGGTTAAAAAAACAGAGGGTTGATAGGTGCAATTTTTTTCGATGGCATGACCCGGAAATGGGTGCAAGAGCAGTAGCTGTGATTCCAGGCTTGCTCCGCAGCGCGAATGCTAGGGAAATAGAAATCAGACGAGCAAAAATTTTAATTTAATTTAGTGCGATTTCTTGTTTTAGTTTAATTTTTTATTAATATATTTTTCAACATTTAAATTTTCTTTTATTTTTCTTTGGTCAAAGTTGACATTAGTCAACAAATTTTAAAAAAATAAAGAACATCACAGTCGAGCAAAAATGGACCGTTAATTCACAGAAATTAAGGTAAAGAGACTACATTTTTTTTGTTTCAAGGACTAAAATTGGGCACCAAAACATAATAGGGACTCAGTCTGGATACCCCTAAATATGGAGAACCAAAAGTGGATTTTTTCCTATTATAGGGACTACATTTTTTTGTTTTAAGGACTAAAATTGGGCACCAAAACATAATAGGGACTCAGTCTGGATACCCCCTAAACATGGAGGACCAAAAGTGGACTTTCCTTATTATAGGGACTACATTTGTTTGTTTTAAGGACTAAAATTGGGCACTAAAATATAATAAGGACTCAGTCTGGATACCCCCTACACATGGAGGACCACTTTTGGACTTTTCCCTTTAATTTATAAGCTTGACATTAAAGATTTGTTATGGGATAAAAACCAGAATCGATTTTTTTACCTTTGCTGGAAAAGTCAAAGGTAAATATAGATTTGTTTATTATCAAATCATAAAAAGATATTAAATCCATATTGTAAAAAAATAAAAATAATTCATATAATTTTACAACAATTCTACTACACTATTTAACAGTATTACTTTTTTTATTATATAATAAAATAATAATTAAATATTATATGGTGAACAATAATAAGTAAAACTGTTACTTTCTCTTATATCAGTGGATAAATTTATATGGTAAAATTAAATTTTTATTAGTATTAATATTTTAGTGAGATAATATATTAATTATTTTACAAGCTAACCCTAGCATGTTCATATTTAATGTTTTGGCTAAAAAAACAATGCTGGTTAAAAGATGTGGAAAAAACTTAATAACCCTATTGTTTTTTAGACTTAACATTGATTAAAATAGTTAGAAAATAAATAATAATCCTATTATTTTTTAGACTTAGACGGACAATACTGTGAAAATAACTCATTGAATGTCTCGTGCGTCGCACGGAGTATGTACTAGTCAATTAAAAATGCCAACTCAAACTCGAATTTTCGCAATACAAATCATCATTCACATAATCGAGCACGCGTGGGGATTGTCATCGCTGAAAAGCGACGCCGCCACCTCATCCGAGGCCACGGCCAACGAGTACACAGCTGGCGTGTGGAAAAACGTGTGGACACTTGGCTCGACCACATTCCTCGACGTGTCATAATAGTGGCTGATGACGTGGCTCGGGTACTTGTAGAAGGATGAAAAATAAGAGTAGCCCGGGTAAGGCCATGGCTCGGCTGCTTTCCCGGCTCGTTTTATGGACTTTAAAATCTTCTTCTCTTCCAATAGGTATCCTCTGATCGTGATCTTTTGTAAGTCCATGTCGACATCCACGTCGTCGACCCCTAAAGATTGAAATTCATTTAAAAAAAAAAAGAAAATGTTAACTAGACTAGAGAGGTTATTTATTTATTTTGTTAGATATATGTAGAGTAAGAAATAATGTGCTATCAAATTTTAATGTAACAAATTAAGCACATTGACTATTTGTAGTATTAGCATAAAAGCAGTTTTCTTGATTTTGCATGGAAAGATATTAACATATTCAAAACAATAAAATAAACTTGCTATCCAAATGTGGTTTTTTCTCTTCAGATATTAATTTCTATCTTCTAAAGTGCACAAAATTTGAGCTATGAAAAGGTGAAAGCGCTAACCTTTGAGCTTGAACAGAGCTTTTCTTAGCTTCAAAGCACATCCCTCACAGTCCAGGTTTGGAACTCTCACCTCAAGCATCTTCAAATTTATTCAAAATAAAATAAAAAAAAAATATGAAAAAAAATTAAACATAATTAAAATCTTACAATAAACAAATAATATATGAATGTACTCACAAGTCATAACAGAGTAAGGAGATAAGAAAGAAAAAAAACTTACAGACATATTTGGAAGATTTTGATTTGTAATTTTTTTCTTTGTAAGAAAGAAAAACAAATGATGGTAGCTAGTAAAAAAATGTTGAGAGCCCTTGTTGTTAAATTCTGTTTAGAGCCCCCATATGAATTTTGAAATTTTTGTTTGGTGGAGTTAATAATTATGAAGGTTTTGTTAATGGGAGAAAGCACATACTACTATATATTATTATTGAATGAAATGCATTGGGTTTTGGAATAAGAAAGCAATAGGGGAAGTGTCACGCGTGGGCTGAGACAGCGTGATGAAATTTATCCCCACCCAATATATGAAAATAAAAATAAATAATCTTGAATTTTGTACTCCGTTTTTCAAATTTTTTTACACGAAATTTAATATCTGCAAGTTAATAGTACCAGCTATACTGCTACTGCTACTGGTGATCAGGTATTTAATACTATGAATTTGTGCAGATGAACAAAATTGGTGCATAAAACTGTGAAAGCTATTTAATAATATATTAATGCTGGAAGATTGTTGCGTAAATTGGTGTACGAAGGTACATATTTGTTGTTTGTATAATTATTGGAATTTAGGTGGAGAAAGGAAATATGAGGGGCCATATGATTCATTAATTTATTGTGTTAGAAGTTGGAACAAATGGGTAAACGAGTTGAGCTGAAATCGGGCTCGAGTCATAACGAGTTGAACTATAAAAAATTACATATTTTCTTCTAGAGTCTTTTATTGAATTGATTCGAGATCAGACTCAAGTTTTAATGAGTTGAGCTATTAAATTACATAAAAAGTAAGGGCTTGATTGTTTATGAAATAATTTGTTCAAAATGAGTTATTTTGGTTAACCATAGTTAATTTTGAAAGAAAGTGGTATAGTTAGTTGTTAGTGAAATTTTAAGAAGGTATTAAAATAATATTTAAAATAAAATGATTAAAATTGATTAATGTAAAAGTAGGAGATAAATGATTGAAAATGATATAAGTAGTTAAAATTATGTGAGTGCATGAATAGTGAATTAAAGTTGATGTAATGTGTAAGAATGATTGGTTTGTATTATTTAATTATATGAATAATATTAAAGATAGTGGAGTTGAATTAAGTTGAGTTAGAATTAGAGTATGAAATAAATGTGAGCAAAATAATTCATAAACAATCAAACCCTAATATTTTCGAGCATTTATCGAACGAAACAAATATCAGGCTCGAGTCTTATTTTCGAGCCTTTATCAAGCCAGAGTGAGATCGAGTTCGAGTGTTAATGAGTTGAACTATAAACAAATTATATTTTCGAGTCTTGATGAACCAATCTTGATTTGGTTTGTTATATAACGAGTCGAGCAGAATTGAGCCCATGAACAACTTGTTTATTTTTTAAAACTGAATTATCATATAAAAAAGCAACAAAAAAAAAGTATAATATTTCATATTATAATTATGCATTCTCGTTGACAACATATAATGTACAGTCCCGTAACTATGCTGTCTCACACAATAATTTAAATAAAATTAGATATATGTTAATCATAATATAAAAATAAATTGAAGCTTTTGGGACTTGGGAGCTACCTAGATTTCGTAATTCGTAAATGCCAACGTGGGTGGTTGACCGCATGATTTCATTCTACCCTTTTTTTCTTTTGTTTTTATTATTATCTTTTTGTGTAGTTTGCAATTCAAATTTTCTCTCTTATTTTCCACTATATTATTTTGACTAGTACGTATCCCGTGCGATGCACGGGACAAAGATATTAAATAAATTATTTTCACACCCTTAACGGGACAAATATATTAAATGAATTATTTTCACACTCTTGTCCGTTTAAGTCTAAAAATAATAGGGTTATTATCTATTTTCAACATCTTTTAATCAACGTTAAGTCTAAAAAACAATAGGGTTATTATAAGTTTTTTTTCCACATCTTTGCGTTGTTCTTTTTAGCGAGAACATTAAACATGAGCATGTTAAGGCTAGCTTGTAATTAATATATTATCTCACTAAAATATTTATACTAATAAAAATTTAATTTTAGCATATAAATTTATCCTTTTATATAAGAGAAAGTAACAGTTTTACTTATTATTGTTCAGTATATAATATTTAATTATTATTTTATTATATAATAAAAATAAATATTGTTAAATAATGTAGTAGAATTGTTATAAAATTATATGAATTATTTTTTTACAATATGGATTTAATATCTTTAAAAGATTTGATAATATAAATACAATATATTCTTAATGATATAATAATATGAGATACGGATTTACATAATACTATAGAGTTATTTCTTAATGTTAAGATATTGAATTAGGTAATATATGATTCATTAATTTGTAATCTGACTCTTTTTATATTGACAATAATCATGTGATTGAGTATAGATAACAATTATCTATAAATTCCTTCATTTAAGGAATAATTTTTAAATTGGTTCAAGTGTTGAATGCAGTCGGATTTTCTTGTAACTAAAATGAGAAGATATTTTGAATTTCAAATTTTCACTTCAAAACCACACGTATATTTGAATGCAGATTTAATTAAAAATAAAATGAGAAGAGATTTTGAATTTCATATTCACTTTAATATTTGTCGACATTTTTAAAAATGAATTCAACAAAACTCATAATTTTAGGGGCATTTAATGCTACCCTATTTTATGATTTAAAATATCTAAAACTTTCTAAATATGGTGTGCAATTAATTATTTTAAAATATGAACCGCTTTTGTTACCAAAAAATGTGAGCACAATTTTGAATGTACATCTCGTCCAAATATCAGTTTTATTTTAAAATAAAAATTGCACGTAGTCTTAACCAATTTACACACTTTTTTTGAAAGAAAAAATTATTAATTAAGATTGGAAGAATTAATTAGAATTTATACAACTATTTGTTTCGTAAATTTGTATCCAATTTGCACGGTTTTTAAATTGATTTGTATTTAGAATTGTTTTCATAAATAATTGACATATTTTTTGCATAAGAATCTCTAAATTTGTTACCAAAAAAGATATGATTTAAATTTTGGTAAAAAAATAAAATATGATACAAAAAAATGAGATTCAAATTTTGTCATAAGAATCTCCAAATTTGTTACCGAAAAAATAGGATTCAGATTTTATTTCTAAAGATTTACATGTGTTTTTTCGAACTTTCCATTAATAGTAAGTCAAACATTATATTTATTTAGTCAAACTTTCTATTAATGTATTTTTCCAACAACCTCTTTATATATATATAGATTATGTTCTTTTCTTTTGACGTAAACTTCTGCAAATACCTGATACGGATTACGTAAATATGTTTAATTTTCTGAATTTCTTTTATTTCTTCTGTTCCATTTATTATTTTTTTTGTCATTATTTTTGTTTTAGAAATTTTCAAACTATATACAAACTGGGACTGTTTCATTTTTTCAGTGTCTTTAATCATTTTCATATGTCACCTCAATGAAAGCAAAAACAAAAAGATGAGAATGCTCATAATAATTAAGGGCTTGTTTGGAAGCATAATGATCAAATACGCGACAATGATGATACTTCTACTAACGGACTCCCATAACCCATTAACGAAGTTAATCAATTAATTCATAAGCTGTTTGTGATTGCATTTTTTCTTAAACAAAATAAGATAATTATGAATTAAAACCAGGCCATAGTCTATAATTAATGAAGTTAATTCAACTGTTTGTGATGACTGATGATCACATTTTTCTAAATTCAAACGTTGCCTAGGATAATTACGAAATTACAATCAGGGTCGGGTTAAGGCTAGCGACCCGATATAAAATCTTAACTAGATGAACATGAAGAACATAATCAATTTTCATTTTTATCGGAGTTATTGTTATATTCAATACTAATGTGGAGCCAAACTATTATTTCTAGGGTAATTAAGGTTTGATATCTGTGAGCAATTGAGCATATCTAATATTATTGTTTGACAAGTAACGGTTTGAATTAATTTTTTAAATTTATAACACTAATTAAAAAAGACTCAATATACGAAGTTTACTTATTTGAGAATTGTAATTTTAGTTACTTTTAAATCTCGAACAAATAATTATTTATCAAACACTTTGTATAGTCGGTTAATTATTCCAATCAACTAGAGTCACTAATTGAATAACTATCATATCTATAAAGTGTTCATCCTCATAATATTGAATATAATCATCTAACCACCTAAATCTTAATAGTACTTTGTTTTAGGGCAGCTGTATGTATTTTAACCTCATATAACGTTTATTTATTACATTAAAGCTCTAGTAAATTTTGCATGAACGAAAAAATTGTTTAATTTAGTGAAATAATATTTCCTTGTAGAGTCTAACCAGTGAAATTAACTCATATTGTATGGTTGTAATTGTCCAAGCATAATGAAGATTTTAATTTCGAATCGGATTATATTGTTCCATGTCTTTGTTTGCATTATTCAACCGAAAATTCATGTTAGAATTTGTTTATTTTATTTTCTTTCACGAGATAAAATTCACTAGTACAATACTCGTATACTACACGGATAATTGTTAAAAAATTATTTTTAAAATTAAATAATAACAACAACAACAACAACAACAAATAATTTAAAATTAAATATATGTATTTATTAAGCTAATTTGAGGTTTTCATGGAAATTAATGATCCGATTGAGAGCTTTCAAAATAAATCAAGGCTATATTAGTCAATCAGTATCATTATCAAAGATTTCCATACAACTTAAGGGTGTATATTGGTCAAACTATTATGGAATTATCAAGTTAATTTTTCAATATTTTTGGAATGTCCGAACCTAAAATTATTAATTTAGAATAATTTTTTTTATATCCAAACCAAATTATGAAACATGTTTTTTCGCCAAGTAGGATTTCGAAGCGTGCGAGACTGCCACATAGACTCAACGTATTCTGCAATTATATATAGTGGGGATGGGGAGGGAGATTTGAATTTAATTTGTTTGAGAAACGACCAGATTAATCGTTCCATCATTTCAAATTTACTAATAAAACTCTAAAGTAAAACTTCCATTTTTGTTTTTCGGTAATTATATAAATAAAAGATAAATTGGTGTAGACTATTATTATTATTAGCATAGATATCTTGGAGAGTAATTTAGTAAATAAATATTATTATAAGAGATCTTGTCTTATTGAACAAGTTAGGAATAGGGTTTAGGAGCCTTATTTAAAGGACTCCTCATCTATTGTTTTATTCAGTTGATTATGGAATGAAATAAGAAATTGAGTGTTTTGAGAACGTATCTCGTTTATCCTATCTCGTTTATCCTTCCCACTTGTACGCTTCCCTACATCATAAATCCACACTAACTTCTTCTAAATTTTCTTCCTAATTTTCACCCAAATTGATTGGAGACAACTAGAGGTGTAACAAGCTAATCCGAACTAGATGTCAATAAAACGAGATCGAATAAAATTTCGACTCATTTATTAATATTGATAAATCAGATTCGAGTCTTAATGACTCGAGCGTAAATTCATATTGTTTAACAACTTTACATTCAACTTTTTTATTGTCCTTTTCTTTTAGTTTTCTTCTTTTATTTTTCTTCTTGTGCTGATGGCGCTGAGGACCAAAACCCTGACAACCAAACCACCGGACAATGAGAAAAGAAAACAAGAAAGTAGAAAAAGGATCAGAAAAATAGACCCCTGTTTTTTACAGTTTTACAGCACAGTTTGGCAGAAAAAAGGGAGAGGAATCTACTTTTAGGGAATTGAAAATTCACTTTTCCTTTTCAATTTTTTGTCACTAGCTGTTTTTCATTTGTTTTCATTTTCACCCGGCCATAAGCCACAACTGCCCGTTGCACATTTCCAGTAAAAAAGTAATAATAATGATAATAACGTCTCATGTGCTTGGCTGTGTTTGTTTAATAGTTTTTTAGCTTTAAAAAAGCTTTTTGAACTTTTTAGTTGTTTGACTTTTTACAATCACCTGAAAAATATGTTTGGTAAACACCTTTTTCAATTAGCTCTTTTGGCCTAATCCGCTAAAATAGAAAACGCTGTTTTTCCTAGCGTTTTGATTCAGCGGTTTGTAAAAAAAAAATTAAAAGTTTTAATTGCCCTTTTATTATTATATTCGTACCACATGAGACGTAAGTCAAAATCGTCTTGGATTAAAATAGTGCACTGCTCTTAACTTTTTATTCAAACCTATAGCAATAAAAAATATATCACATTTTTTATATTTTAAAAATAGAAATAATATTTGGTTTTTTAAAATTATAATTAATGTTACATAAGAAAAATATTCACATATAAAAATGTAATTCCAACTAATTCTAGTATAATACTTAACAAATAATTTTACCAACCTTTTTTTCTAAAATTTTAAATATATATAATTTTAGTTACTTAGATGTACATAGAAACTTTAAGAAATTGTTAATGTAAGTTTTAGTTACTTAGATTTTCTTTTATATTTTTTTTAATTGTTATGAGAGATATCGAAATTGGCTCATATTTATTTTTGTAAATAGTGATGACTTGTTATTAGTTTTGCTTATAGGACGTGAACTTATTTACTCAATCAAGAAATATTTTTGTTTTATTATTATTTATATTTTTATTATATTTTAAACCACTTTAATAAATATTTAAAATATTAATTATTTTTCTTTCCTATATAATTATAAGTTCAACATAAATGAGAACGATAAATTATGTTGATGTCCTTATAAGTAATTTTGCATGTTAACAGCTAATTAAAAATAGCTAATCCTACCAAACACTCTTTTACAAACCGCTAACACAATCATCTAGTCAAACCAGCTAACGCAATCCGCTGGTTAAAACAGCAAATGCAATCAGCTAACAGCTATCAGCTAACCGCTGATTACCAAACAATGTTTTCTTCTAGTTATATCATCGGAAATGTGAAACTAAAGATCCCACCAATTTATGTTTATTTTTGGTGGCCCCAATTTACTACTCTCTCCTATTTTTAATAAATACGGTTTTGAGAAGTTGCACAATAATTAAGAATATTTTGTTTGTCAATAATAACCCTCATTAATGAGGATAGAGATTGATGTTTTGAGAAAAGATGGAGAGTAAATATGAAAAGACGTGGTGTATTTATTTGTTAGATGAGGGTAATAATGGAAAAATATGTACAAAATAGCCAAAACGACATTTATTGAACAAATGATCAATTAAGCTAAAATGACAAATAATAAAAATAGAAGGGAGTATGTAATTTGAATACAGCACCATCGAACTAAATAAATCATTCCGCAACATAATCAAGAGGAAATATCGAATTCTAATTTCTAGTTATGCACAAATAGGTGTGAAGTTAGTCGTGAATTTATAAGTGTGGATGTATTTTCATTATGAGGCATCTCGCGCATCTATATATATATATAATAAGAATTATTTTTTACTAAAAATAGTAAGCAAAAAATTTGGGAGTATTAATTACATTCTATTTTTAGAATATTTTTATTTTTTTAATAAAAAAATTAGGCCGCATTTAATGCTATCATAAATCATAGAATTTGTTATATCTATATATATATATATATATTATAAGAATTAACTTAAATCAAATATAGTAAGCATTTTTTGTCATTATGCATTAATAATATCCTAATTATAGTAGTTTTACACAATTCCTTAAAACAAATCTTGAATCATTAATTGAAACCAGTTTTAACTTTTCTTAACAATCGAATTTATTGTTTTAAAAAGATACTCCATAATCTATACTCGTATAAAGAGCCATCTCATTTACTAGAATTAGTAGGAAGAAAAGTCAAAGGTAATTAATGCATTCTATTTCTATCAATTAATTTTTATTTAATTGTTTTTCCCATAAAATCGATATAAAAAAAATTTTACGTAAAACAAAAAAAATACAGATTTGATCGGAAGATAAAATCTTGATTTATTAAAAATAAATCAGATGTCGAACCTAAATTCAAGGATTTGGTTGTCTTTATAGATATTGATTTACGTAAATCAATACATCTAATATTTATAGTTTGTGTAGATTTAAAATTCCTTCTTATCTTTGTATAAAAAATCTTATCTAATTGTAAAATGTTTGTACAAAATGTTTTACTTTAAATTTATTTACATAATTTAAATTAACTACATTAATAAATAATATGAACGTACATTATTTATTTTTATTACATAAAACAAAAAGAAGAAGAAGAGTACATCTATAACTTGTATAAATAATAATAATGACATTATATTACAATAAATTTATAACAAAATAATATGAGTATTATACGAGGAACAAGATTACGTAAAATTATTATTTTTCTTATATCAAAGAATAAATATATATAATGAATCAAATTTATATTATTATAAACATTTGAACGAGATAATATATTAATTAATTTACGGACTAGCGCTACTAGACTCAGGTTTAATGTTCTAACAAAAAAAATGAAGTTGATGAAAAAATGTAAAAAGATAGATGATCAAACTCTATTATTTATTAGGCTTTAATGGACAAGCCCTATGGTCCACTCATTTAATATCTCTCGTTAATCACACGAGCTACTTAACGGACAAGTTCCGTGGAAATGACTCATTTAATACTTTTGTCCCGATAAAATCACTGGTGACGGAACTAAAAGCGCCATTGAATGAATATTTGTTGGGAACAAGGAAGGATTTGAGGAGATATTGTGCTAAACCCTTTGATCTATTCGAACGGCATGGAGTGAATTCCCTGCGATGCGAATATTCGGGAGAGAGATTTGTTTGGTTGCAGGAAAAATTGTGAAACTCATTGTCGATGGATGATGGAGGTGGAGAATTGAGTAAGGATAATAATTATGAATATGGGAACGTGAGGACTTCTTTTTGTTTTGGTAAGTATATATCTAAATCTCATTTAATTATCTAATCACATTTAATTTTCCCAAAAGATTCCTTTATAACGGTTGAGTTGTGTACATCTCAGATCTGGTATTTTTGCAATATTTTGGGGATGAATTAGTAGGATTATGAATAAAACTAATATGATCGTAAAAATATTATATAAATAAAATATGATGATATGGAGTGCAAATTCCTCTAAACTCTAAACTTAAAATGTGATTTCTCGTCTGAACAAAGTACCCGAAGGCCCAAGGAGTTGGACCAAGCTAAATAATTAAGGTCTCGTTGAGACTCTATTTGAAAAAAAATATTGGTTTGTATGACAATGAAAATCTCATATTGTTCGATGTGAGTTTGGTCTTGGGTTTGAAAGTGTGAAGTTATATCTAAAGAGGTCTATTGGGTATAAGGCCGAAAACAAAACTATGAGGGCTGGAGCCCGAACATATGTTTTACGGTATTGAAATATTTGAATTTCACCATTTGTATTAATACAATACTCGTGTACTATACAATGTATTTAAATATATTAACAATTGTATAGTAAAAAAAGAAATGCTAAAATAGTTTATGGTAATTCCTAAGCATAATAGTCAAAAACAAACCTGAACATGTGTCACTATGAAACACTAAGTTATGCTAAATAAGCTTAGGAAACACACGAATCTGCCACTTAGGCTCAGCGCATTCGAGAATTATGTATAGTGACGATTTTTCCACACTCAAATTTAAACTTATTATATTCATTTTTTGTTCAAAGTATAATTTATTTCTCTTTTCATTTAAGGATTTCTTTTTATATATATATATCTAATCGTTCCATTGTATGAATTATTTATTTATTTATTATTTTATTTATTTACAGAAATTATAACCCGCATGGGCTCATAGGCCAGTACAAATTAATCCCACATTTATCAAGCCGGAGCAAAGCAGGCCAAAGCCCATCATGGCCCAGCCCATATATATGCCATAACGTGCTATGCCTTCGCAGAAAAGCGTGCTGCTGTTGATACTTGATAGTTGATACCATTACTTTAGAAAGCGTTTCTTAGCTGAGGAACAAAAGCGCACTTCTTAAATTCGCCCAAAACCTCTGCAATTTATTTTCCACTAAAACCCAAACCCCTTCTCCCGAACAGCAGCTCCTAGCTGTTTATCCACCAATAAGAAGAGATAAAACCATGGTGAGCCATAGGCAAACATTGGGCCAAAAGCGGTTTCCCGGAGCCAGAGTCGCCGGTGCCGGAAGACCCAAAAAAAAGAAGAAAAAGAATCCGCAAATTCAAGTGCAAGAAATCGGATTAGAGTTGTGGGGATGAAATCAAGTGAAAGTTGCTACTTATGCAAAGCCCAGACCACATTGCTAAAAATATGCCCCAAGAAATCTGTGTGGGAAAGGAACAAGGTTCGTTTTTTCTTTTCTTATATATATATTTAATTGGTGTTTGGGATGTATGTGGAAGAAGATTTGGGATTATTTGGTATGCAGTAATTTAGCTTTATAATTTCTAGAATCTAATATTGGTGGCTTTATATGTTAATGCAATTTCTAGTCAGTTGTTCAGTTAGCTGGAATTGTATGAAAAAACTAAGCCGTTATTTCATGCTCAAGGCTTCAGAGCCTTTTTTCCACATTAGCCGTGAATCTCGTAGACCTATTTTTTAGATAAAAAGACCAAACTTTGTTTTCAGTCGAGGTAATAATGATAATCTTGTTGTTGATATCATGTTTGTAGACCTGTTTGTTCTGTCTGACAATGCAGCCACAATCTTAAGAATTGCCTTAACAGAAATTACAAGTCAACGGATTAGAAATTCTGTTAGTTGTGGAAATTTATCGGTCTCCGTTTTAGGTTTCATAATAGAAATGCATCGTTATTTTTTGCATATAGCTTATTTTTTGCCTTTTGAGCTGAAAGTAACTCACTCCAAGTCTCCAAGGCCATTAATATGGCAGAGTATTTGTATGCTTTAAAATTTGGATGTTCCTACATTTTAGAGTTCTGTTTTTGGGATAGTAGAGGTTTATCCTGCTATTAGAGGTGTCGAATGCACATTTTTTAAGAATTGGATTTTTCTAGACATTTATATTTTGTATGGTTGGTTTGCTACATAGGAAATTGAGTGCATGCTTTCAATAATTTGAATACGTAGTAGAACTTTACCTTTCTTGCTCGAGTGTGTGCCCGAAGGATTTTATTCATCTGGATTATTTTATAATTTAGTAAATTAACTTTCATGTTCAATTGCTTTATATGTAATGAAACTGGGCATTTGAGTAAAAATTGTCCCAAGAATACACGTGAATTTATTCAAAGGTAAATCTTCATAAACTATCAAATGTTATATATAGCATCTTGTACATTATCCACTAAGTATTAGGTGTGGGAATTTATAGTTCATGAATTAGGTGGGAAGTTGTGTTTTGAAAGAACGTTGAATTGTTGTGAATTTATTGAAGGATTTGCAATTCCATTTGTTATGAAGTGTTGTGTTGTATTTGTTATAAAGATGTAAAGACATAGAAAAAAGATGGACCTAAAGTTTTTAAGTTTTGTTGGTTGAGGATTTTGATACTTTCTTGTGGGCACATATTGAGGTTTTAAATACTTCGATACATTTTTTCTCTTTTTAGTGAGCAAACATCATTTGTAATGTGCATTTGGTTCAAATTGTGAACTGTATTTCATGCGCATGCAAAGGGGAATATAGTGAATGAAATTCATAAGCAAAATCGGGCAAGTAAATGTTAACCGTTGAGGGACTTGGACAATTTCTGACCCTTAATTATATATCCATCTTATTCTCCTCCACTCATTTGACTCTTTTTAAACACTTCTAAACTTGGTATTTTCACTTATTCCCTCCTTTTCTTTTCTTCATTTTTTTGCAGGTCTTTTCCTTCATAAACGGGACGACAGAAATGGTAAAATATTAATTCAACAGTTAATTATTTCTCCATTTCTCTCTTTTAATGTTTAATTTATTCCATCCAACTCGAGCATTCTCAAAAACTCGATTGTGTGATAATATATATCTACAGGCGAATGCCGTGTCTGGTGTGGCGGTGCAAGATGATTGCAAGCTGAGGTTTCTTGATCTAAAGGCCAAGAGGAACTATCGTTACATCATCTTCAAGATCGACGGTCAGCGTGTGGTGGTCGAGAAGCTCGGCCAGCCGTCCCTCGACTACGACGATTTCGCCGCGGCCTTACCCGCCGACGAGTGTCGTTATGCCGTTTATGATTTCGACTTTGTCACGAGTGAGAATTGCCAAAAGAGCAAGATCTTCTTCATTGCTTGGTAATCTAAATCTACTTTCGAGTTTTTGTACACTAAGTTGAAGAATATATTAGGCAAATGGCTCTTTACTTCCATTCGAAAAACATAAACAGGAGTATCACATTTGATAGTATAAGTATGCATTTCTGTTCATATATATATGATTGATTGACTCACCTAACCGTTAGTCTGCCACACAATAGAATTTGTGTTGTATATTTGGTGTGATTAATTAGGTCACCCGACACATCGAAGGTTCGAATGAAGATGGTGTACACGAGCTTAATATTTCATAGAATTCCCACTAAATCTAAAAATCTTAAAAAGTCTCAAGAAATTTCAAAATGTCACTCAAAACCTCAAATGAATACACTCCCTTAATCTTCTGTTACAACTTAGAATACTTGTTTCACAAATATATATACTCATTAGAAAGTGCCATACTTTAAAAAACAATATAAAAAGAAATGACATTTGATAGTATAAGTAGACATTTATTTGTGTTTTCATTGTCGACTCGCCTAATCGTTAGTCTGCCTCACACAAGAATTTGGGTTATATATTTGGTGTGATTAATTAGGTCCCCCGACACATCGAATGTTCGAATGAAGATGGTGTACGCGAGCTCGAAGGACAGGTTCAAGAGGGAACTTGATGGGATTCAAGTTGAGCTACAAGCAACTGAACCTAGTGAGATGAGTTTTGACATCATTAAAGCCCGTGCTTTCTGAAACAATAATGATGATTATAAAAAGAATGCCTGTTTCTTTTTCATTTTATTTGAAAGAAATATGTATTGTTTACCACATGTACAAATTTTCTAATTGTCTTTTGTAATGTTTGGTGAATTGTTTCATGTTCTTCGATGTCAAATTAACAAGAACCATGCAACCCAACCATATAATGCCTTGTTTATTTAATATGATTGCATGTTCATTAATAAAATTGTGCTAACCTAATTGGGAAATTGAAACACATAAGGTTCTTGTACTATTAAGTGTTGCTTTTGAAACTGAAATAGGACATTGGCATCTAGGTTTTCTCAATATTGAGTTCAAATTGGTAAAGCAAAAATCAAATTTGCGAGCCGCACTAAAGAAATTAACAATACCAGCAAATAATAATCTCAAAATAGCTATTAAATTTGCCAATGCTCATAAACTGTCTTCACTGCCTTCTCCATCTCTAGGAAGAAGCTCATAAATATTATTCAAAGATTAAAAAACCTATTAGATACAGTACAACTGAATTATCCGTTTTCCCCTTTCCCTCACGCAAATTCGAAGGTATAGATTCTTAGGCTCCGAACTTAGGGACCTTAGCTGTAGATATCTGTGCAAGAAAATGCTCGGCCACAATACGCCGCTGAATTTTTCCTGTGGCTGTTTTCGGGAGGGAGTCTGTAATGAAAACCTTCTTTGGAACCTTAAAAGCAGCAAGGTTTTTCTTGCAGAACCTCGAAACCTCTGCCTCGTCGAGGTTTGATCCATCCCGAGGAATAACGGCACAGTTTATCTAAACACAAAGTACAAAAAAAAGAAAAAAAAAACAAATAAATAAAAGTGAGTGTTTAGTGCAATTACTTGAAAAAAAAAAAAAAAA